TATGAGCGTTGGGGGGCAGCTCTCATTGCCACCCCCTGACCCAGAAATGGACGATAAAGGGCTTGAAAATGAATGAATGAATGAATATATTTCTTGGCGGCTTTTCTTTCAGCTTCCTGTAGTCGCTGTCACCGCCTCTTCTCAAACGTTCATTGAGATTCTTTGTGGTAAATGATTTTCTAGCAGCTCTTGAAATCTCGCTGAACACGTGCGAATCTTTTACTGATACTGTAAAATATCGCCACACGACGCCGTCATCTTCTTTGTGTTTTTTATTGAGGAAAGTGCACAGACGCCCTCTACTGGTGACTATTTGCAGGCGCCACCATTAGCCAATGTCATTTTTATTTACCAATGGTAGTTAACAAGTTGAACATCGGTTGAAACCGTGACTCTTAGGCTGGCCTTAGCATCCGTATACTCCAGTTAGTTATTATCTGCATGTTCGTCTGGTCTTACCATGTGTAAACTCTGGTCCATGATCATTTCCTACATGTACGTCTGGTCTTACCATGTGTAAACTCTGGTCCATGATCATCTCCTACATGCACGTCTGGTCTTACCATGTGTAAACTCTGGTCCATGGTCATTTCCTACATGTACGTCTGGTCTTACCATGTGTAAACTCTGGTCCATGGTCATTTCCTACATGTACGTCTGGGTCTTACCATGTGTAAACTCTGGTCCATGGTCATTTCCTACATGTACGTCTGGTCTTACCATGTGTAAACTCTGGTCCATGGTCATTTCCTACATGTACGTCTGGTCTTACCATGTGTAAACTCTGGTCCATGGTCATTTCCTACATGTACGTCTGGTCTTACCATGTGTAAACTCTGGTCCATGATCATTTCCTACATGTACGTCTGGGTCTGATCCTAGTGGCTGCAGTTTCCTCGGTTGAATCTCCTCCGACCAATCAGAGAGCAGGGGAGGCGGGTGTTGTAGGTCGGTGTCGGTGACATCAAGAGTTTGTGCTGAATTTGCTGGTTGTAGTTTGTCGGAGAAAGCGATAGTAAAATAATCTGTTCTGGTTCAATCCAAATATCAAGAAACTGAAGCCGGAGCAAGAGGAATGTTTAGTAAATGTCATTGAAGCAAATATGTGGCTCTACTCCCCACGGGCTCCGTTAGTGGCAAAGGCGATGGCTAAAGCTAGGCTACATGCTAAAGCTAGGTTAAATTAAATACCGCACTCACTCAGGCTCATTACATACGTCACGGTAAACTCAGACCCAATCTTTTCAATCTGCAAAAGGAGTTAACCCCTCCCACCTGAGCTCAACGAAGAAAATCCAGACCATAGTACAAAATGAAATGAGTACAATGGTATGGTAAGACCAGGGTAGGTGCATCCCTAATAGACATTTCCAAATTCATAAATATTCTTAATGAAATGTGCTGTATGAATAAAAATTACCTCCTGACAATCCATCACAAAAGTTACATAGTTCACTTCTAACTTAGATAAGTCAGTTCAGTTCAACGTTTTGGGAAAGATTTGGAGCAGATGTTAGAATTTGAAGATAATTGCTTAAATATGTTATCTTTGTTGACACAGAGACTTTTGGCAGCAGCCGCTAGCAACAAATATGCAGAGATGTGGATGGAGGGCTGTGTAAGGGCCCCGGGATTCATATCCTGTTGTGTTATGATTTCTTTAGGCTAATGTAAAAGCACCCACACAATCGGGTAAAGAACCAAGAGGACAGGGAGGTTCACGGTTTAGCACAATTTCACCCCCACAAAAACCTAAATCTAAATATTTTCATTGAAAACAACAGGAGTAAGCACAAGATCATTGAAAAAAAACGACAGATACTAACTGAAGAAGATGACATGTCTGGGATCGTGTCTTAAATTCCGACAGAAGACATGTTTTATTGTCGATGGTAGAGACAGCACGAACAACAGAATGCAAGTGTATTATACAGAGCGGAGGCGTGGAGACCTCCAATCAGCAGCTGCCACAGTGCCATGTAGCTTGGCCTTCAGATAGACAAAACAAGGGAAAAGTACTGGCTTCTGCACATTGATAGAATGATGAGTTTAACTTTAACAAAAGTTGCTTCAAAGTGTTATGAAATCTCACATAACGGCTTATTAAACGAGCGCGAGGGCTGATATTTCTCTGTACAGCCCGAGCAAGCGAGGTTAATAAATGTTTTATTATATGACTATTTTTAATTTGTGCAATCGGTTTCAACTAAAAACACATGCAACCAAACTGTAAAATGGTGACATGGAGAACTTGAAGATGTGTCTTTACCAATGATTTTTAGATATTTGTGAAGTATGTTCATGTCCGACTTGGTTTTCCTAATCCTGTTTTTACCTTTCTGGTCTGTAACGAAGTTGTCGATCTCTTCTTGACTGTTAGGAGTTGTGTTTTTGTCGTTATTTGCCGTTATTACTTTCTCTGGCTCTTCCAACTCGTCCGGAAAATAGAATTCACTGGAGAATGCTCCCAGTCGTTGCTTATTATGTCTGTTCTGGCTCCTTTTGAGCCAATGATTTATTTTTTGTATGTAAATAGTTTTATTTTGAAGTAACTTCCTGGCTAACCGGAAGTGGAAAAACGGTCAACAGTTATTCCAGTTATCAAACATGATTCAGCTCCAGTGGTAGATCACAGAGAGTTTGCTTAGTCTGTGTGTTAGCATTGAGTAAGTTTACCTGTTGTATTTTCCCTAGTGTGTTATTCTGTGGATGTGTTTAATTAGTTCCAAATGCTAGCCCCGAATGCTAGCGCAGTATGCTAGCGCCGGTAATGTGCTGCTGTTAGCATTAGCATTGGCCTCGTATTTTTCAGAGGCACCTTGACAGTGTTATATGTTGTATTGTATTTTGTTTGAATGCACAACCTGAGGCTGTTTTTTTTTTATTTGTTGCAGTTTTACCATTCTTACAATGATAAAAGCCTGTAAAAGCAAACACCGGTGTCGTCATTGTTCCGGTCATCTGTCTGCCTAGATTAAGTTTATCGAGGGCAGAACATTGTCTTTTTTACCAAGGAAAGATATCAAATCTGATACGTGCTGCGGACCAGTTGTCATGGTAACGGTTGGAGATGGGAAAATATCAGCCCGCAATTCAGCCAATCAGAGCGCGCGTACGAGCCAAGGCTTATAATAAATAAAAAGGGATATTAAGTTAGTTAGTTAGTTATTTATTTAAAAGGACAACGGACAGGTACATTAAAAAGATGGCTGCCCCAGATTTAGCACAATTATTAAAAATACAATTAAAATACATAGCAGAGTTAATTAAAATACAAAACATAGACAATAAACATGCAATATATAGTAAAAGTGCAGATGAAAAGTGCCAGTTGCCTTCATAAAGTGCAGAATGACAAAGTGCAACAGTTTTCATAATTATTTTGTAGCTATACATAATTAGCACATAGATACAATAGTTTTGAACACTAATAATGTGGAAAAACGTCCGAATCACTCAGAATTGGTCGGTCAAGAGAATATTGGTCCCTCAAGGCGCCAAGACTGAAATACCTCTGGTTTATTTTAAGATTTGGGTGGAGGTTTGAAGGTTTTCACTGGCTCGTTGCTCAATGACTGTCATCTACTTGAGTTTACTGGCGGCGTCTTGTTTTCCGCCCACTTTCCTCTGCAAAACGGACAAGACTCTACAAAATATAGACCATAACAATCCGATTATATATAAAAACTATGCTATGATAATAGTAATCTACACTTCAAAATGTGAGGTAATGTCCCGATCAACACAAACACAAACACATGTATTTATTTCTTTTGTATATATGTAGCTATTGTACTATCATATTGTGTATTTACCTTGTTTTACTTGTGTTACATGTTTTGTGTGGAGGCCGATAAGGCTTCAAATCAAAGAAGAAAAAGTATGCATTATTTTTGGCCATTAGAACTGATAATTATACTTTCCACTGTAAATTCATGTTTTTTAAAGTGAAATAATATATGTACGAAAATATGTGGCAAGAATGGTATGAAGGGTAAAAAAAACCGATTCCCACGTGCAACTCCGTGCGGTACCACCAGAGGGAGGTGTCAGTTTTTTTTTCTAAACTCAAAAAAATGAACGATTGCAATGAACACAATTTCACCAGATACATTACCAAAACCAATTCATGAGCAATGTTTTTGTTTTAAAAAGGCAGAAAACGGCTTTGAGAGTGAATACCTTCTCCACTGACTCACTGATGTCTGCTGCCGTTGTGTCCTTGGGCAAGACACCATTCCCCACTTTGCCTATAGGGGGCGCAGAAGTAACAGTACGCTGCATGCTATGATGTGATAAGTGTATATAAATATAAAACCAAATTTATCCATTGTGAGATCAATAAAATATATCTCCTTTTTATTTTATTTATTTATTGAATTTTTAACACCCAGTGATAGGGGACTACATACACAGTAGTTACACACAATGGTGTACAGTAGTTACACACACACACACAAATTATTTAGTATATCTTCTTCTTCTACAAAATGAAACAGATTAAGTCAAAACATCTGGTCACAATAAACCTGCTTCTCCAATATGTTTCACCCGACCTCAGACTCCTCCCTGTTGCCTCTGCTGCTGCTCTGATATTCACTCTCTTCCTCTCTCTCTCTTTTATAACAGTTTTACCACGAGAAGCCAATATGTGCAGACTTCTACGAGCTTCTGCTGCCTCTCACGGCCACCCCAGGTCCAAAGAGCAGGGCAGAGATGACAGAAAAAAAGTCTATACATACTTGTAAACGGGCCTTTGATAGTGGATAGAAGAGATATCTGTGTATGTTGGACAAAAAAAGACAAAGAATTCAGCTGCAGACGTAAAAAAATGGCTGTTTTAGATTCGAAGGAAGGCCAAGGAGCAGTCATTTCCTACGGCCTTGTGCAAAAACATGTATTTTTTTTCCTTTAAGAATTGTGTTTTCCCAGAAAGCCATTGTTTTAAAGGTTGAACTCAACACCTTTAATGTGGCCGGACTCCGGAGGCAGATAAGAAATCACGATAAACACTCCCAGTCACCACTCCCACAGTTCCCAACTCCCGCCGTGAAAGAGGCCCCAGCCACTCCCTTCAGCCCTTCCTTCCACAGAATGTCTGAAAAAGTACAAAACACTGCAAAACAGGGAGCGCCAAATAAGAAAAATAAATCAGATGAATTCCTTAATCTCATTTTTGTTTGCGTAAAAAGTAGTTGTTCTAAATAGTACAGGGATAACACATGTAGGTAATATACACTTTAATGTGTGCACTGTAAAAAATGTCTTGAAAATGAGGGGAAAAAATATAATTCATTCATTCATTAATTTTCAACCTCTTTATTAGTCCATGTCTATGTCAGGGGAAGGGTGGCAATGAGAGCTGGCACCCAATGCTAAAAAAAAATGAAAATAAGTAAAATACTGCCTTCAATAATACAAAAATATCTGTCAATAGAACAAGAAAGTATGATTTAAGATTTCTGAAAATAAGAACGTATTAATATTAGCCCCAAATGACTTGATTCTAGTTTTAAAAACATATAAACATTTCAAGTGTTATTTACTTAATTCTTAAACATTTATGAAAAAAAAATCTCAAAATATAGCATTACAAACGTATGTTATTGAAGAAAAGTCTGGAAATGAGAAAAAATACTTAAAACAAGCTTAAAAACGTATAAATAAAAGTATATTAAAACTAGTAAAATAATCTTACACGACAAAATACATTTAAGCAACAAAAATAAGCATCATTTATGTTATTTTTTAGTAAATAAATCTTTGTTCAGTGTGGTTGCTATAGTAACTAAGTAACTCCCAAACACAAAGACAATATGTATATTTTGATTATTCATAACCAAAGAGCCTCGTGATTCACTATTTGACATTTTGGGCTGATCTAAAGTTATGACAGAGACCAAAAAATACACACATGTGAAAAATACTGATAGAACTTCTATTTTTGTGTTCTTTTAAGAATTTGTATTTTTTTTGTATGTGGGCTTGTTCACACTAAAGGGCACAAAAGTGTGACAAAAGGCCAAAAATTAGATTTTAATAATCAGAAGATATTTTATGTTTTTCATGTTTCCAAGCACCTCCTCTGTTCATTAGAAGTTTCTAGAATATAACTGTTTTATACATTAGACAAGTTTCCTATAGCGGCCCTGGTTATTTTATGTAACGGACGTGATGATTTGACGGAATGAGCTTTGTGGAAGTTTGATAGGTATTTTCAGATGTCCACATTTGATTCAGAGATTCTATTTTTTTTACACAGAGTAGATGCAAAGTAATACTTTCATATTGTCAATTAAATTGAAAACAGACCAGATTTTTTTTTTCCTCAAGTTTAATTTTTAGAGAAAAGAGGACGGTCCTCATCACGTCCGTTATACTTTTTTCAGGGGTCATTTAATTAATTAATTATTTTTTATTTTTTTACGATTCCTTTTTATATCAAGTGATTTCCTTCTGTTGTGTTAACCATGTAAATCTTGTGGGATTTCATCTTCTGCTTTTTCAGACTGAGGACATTTTATTTTCTATGTAACTGGTGTCACAGTAGAATGGTCCAATCAGAGGCTCATTTGGTCGTTTAAAATGTTGCTAAACATTTTTATGTCAATCTTTCCTTTAGATTTTATCCACACTATCTCTTCAATGTGTCTGTGTTTGAAATCTTTTTTTCCAATCTATGAAAGTAATTTTAGTTTTTAAGTTATAACCTTTTAAAGTCCAGATACTTCAATTGTCACTTTACTGTGAACACAGTCATGTACAGTCTAAGGTCCCTGTACTTCATATTTACAGTCTATGGTCCCTGTACTTCATATTTACAGTCTAAGGTCCCTGTACTTCATATTTACAGTCTAAGGTCCCTGTGTTCCATTTTTACAGTCTATGGTCCCTGTACTTCATATTTACAGTCTATGGTCCCTGTACTTCATATTTACAGTCTATGGTCCCTGTACTTCATATTTACAGTCTATGGTCCCTGTACTTCAAATTTACAGTCTATGGTCCCTGTACTTCATATTTACAGTCTATGGTCCCTGTACTTCATATTTACAGTCTAAGGTCCCTGTACTTCATATTTACAGTCTATGGTCCCTGTACTTCATATTTACAGTCTAAGGTCCCTGTGTTCCATTTTTACAGTCTATGGTCCCTGTACTTCATATTTACAGTCTATGGTCCCTGTACTTCATATTTACAGTCTATGGTCCCTGTACTTCATATTTACAGTCTATGGTCCCTGTACTTCATATTTACAGTCTATGGTCCCTGTACTTCATATTTACAGTCTATGGTCCCTGTACTTCATATTTACAGTCTATGGTCCCGTACTTCATATTTACAGTCTATGGTCCCTGTACTTCATATTTACAGTCTATGGTCCCCTGTACTTCATATTTACAGTCTATGGTCCCTGTACTTCATATTTACAGTCTATGGTCCCTGTACTTCAAATTTACAGTCTATGGTCCCTGTACTTCATATTTACAGTCTATGGTCCCTGTACTTCATATTTACAGTCTATGGTCCCTGTACTTCATATTTACAGTCTATGGTCCCTGTACTTCATATTTACAGTCTATGGTCCCTGTACTTCATATTTACAGTCTATGGTCCCTGTACTTCATATTTACAGTCTATGGTGCCTGTCCTTCGTATCCGTAGTAACAGAGACATAGCCACTTTGGTGACAATGGCTCAGTTCGTAGAGCCTCAAAGCATGAAGGTCGTGGGTTCGAGCCCACCACAGGACCTTCTCAACCAACTCCCACTGATGTCTGCTGTTGTTGTGTCCTTGGGCAAGACACTTAACCAGGTGCCACAGTGGGGCGGCTGTCAAGTGCCAAACTGCCATTGTGTCCTGAGGAAAGACACTTTGTCCCCATTTCCTAGAATGAGTCTGGTGTGTTGCTAGAGGCAGACGTGTTGCTAAGACGGTTGCTAAGGCAAGTTGGAGATTTCCCTGTAAATGAAAGTATTTGAGAGATCAATACTAATGTGGCTCATATCTCGTGTGAACGTTGCTGAGGAGTTTAATTTTACATGGAAGTCAAAAGAAGCCAGAGAGAGGAGTCAAACTTCACCACGAGCACTTCCCTATTGGGCTTCATTGAGCTTGTGGGTTTGCGTATCTGTGTACAGTCTATGACTCCAAGCTGTCATAGATGAAGGGAGGGCCACACGCTATTGAGAACTGAGGGATGGAAACTACTTTGAACAGAGAAAAGACCTTTTTGTGACATCAGGTGCCTGAGAGTGTGCCGTGAGTGTAGTGTTACCGGTCCACGAGGCCTTCAGGCTCCACTCGTAGAAGAAGATGAGTTTCCCTTTGCGGTTGTTGATGGAAGCTTCGCCGTCACATTTAGTAACTTCTGTGATTTCACACGTCCCATCTTCACCCTCCACAGTGACACCCACAAGGAGAGACTTTAACTTCTCTGAGGACCAGGGAGTGGCATCCCGCTCAGTCCTACACACACACAGAGACACACAGAGACAGACACACATGACTGTATTAGATCCAGGAACTACTGACATACATTTTATTTCAGAGTTCTATTGTTTATGATATGAGAGTTAGGTACCCAGGATAAACCAATCTCCACATGCAGAAACACTTTAACCATTTAAAACATTGGACTTCAAGACACGTGTTGTAGTGACAGAAGTCGCTTCCATTCAGTCTGGAGCTAGCACAGCGCTAACACACCGACGTCTCTCCTCTCTCTGCTCTCTGCTCTCTCTCCCTCTGCTCTGCTCTCTGCTCTCTCTCTGCTCTCTCCCTCTCTCTGCTCTCTCTCCCTCTCTGCTCTCTCCCTCTCTGCTCTCTCCCTCTCTGCTCTCTCCCTCTCTGCTCTCTCCCTCTCTGCTCTCTCCCTCTCTGCTCTCTCCCTCTCTGCTCTCTCTCCCTCTCTGCTCTCTCCCTCTCTGCTCTCTCTCTCTCCGCTCTCTCCTCTCTGCTCTCTCCCTCTGCTCTCTCTCCCTCTCTGCTCTCTCTCCCTCTCTGCTCTCTCTCCCTCTCTCTGCTCTCTCTCTGCTCTCCTCCCTCTCTGCTCTCTCTGCTCTCTGCTCTCTCCCTCTCTCGCTCTCTCTCTGCTCTCTCTCTCCCTCTCTGCTCTCTCTCTCTGCTCTCTCCTCTCTCTGCTCTCTCTCCCTCTCTCTCTCTCCCTCTCTGCTCTCTCTCCCTCTCTGCTCTCTCTCCCTCTCTGCTCTCTCTCCCTCTCTGCTCTCTCCCTCTCTGCCTCCCTCTGCTCTCTCTCCCTCTCTGCTCTCTCTCCCTCTCTCTGCTCTCTCTCCCTCTCTGCTCTCTCTCCTCTCCCTCTCTGCTCTCTCTCCCTCTCTGCTCTCTCCCTCTCTGCTCTCTCTCTCTCCCTCTCTCCTCTCTCTCTCTCCTCCCTCTCTGCTCTCTCTCCCTCTCTGCTCTCTCTCCCTCTCTGCTCTCTCTCCCTCTCTGCTCTCTCTCCCTCTCTGCTCTCTCCCTCTCTGCTCTCTCCCTCTCTGCTCTCTCTCCCTCTCTGCTCTCTCTCCCTCTCTGCTCTCTCTCCTCTCTGCTCTCTCTCCTCTCGGTCTCTCTCCCTGGTCTCTCTCCCTAGTCTCTCTCCCTGGTCTCTCTCCCTAGTCTCTCTCCCTGGTCTCTCTCCCTGGTCTCTCTCCCTCTGGTCTCTCCACACACAGACGTCACACTGTCTGCAGATATAAACTCTTCACATGTGAGCTGTGATTAAAGCAAAGTGAACGCTGTAACCCACAGACAGAGCGTTAGCTTTAGCCGCGGAGCTAACTCACCAGTGCCAGTTGTTGACGTTAGTCGCGTCCGCCCGCTCCTCCACGATCCAGCGCGGGTCTCCTTCGCCCCACTTGGCCATTCCTGGTCTGTGTCTGTGTTCGGCTGGGTTCAGATGGTGTACAGATGTGGTTTAGATGTGGTTCGGATCCAGTCCTGATGCCGGGGTTTCGTTCACGCTTCTAGAATCCTCCGTTTGTGATGAAAAGCGTCCGGGCGGAAACAAGGCGGGGTAAGCAAGGTTCCGGGAGGTTCCTGGAGGTTCCAGAAGATTCTGGTTCTATAGTTCTTTGTGTCTTTGAGTCTATGGTTATATATGGTTTATATGAGTTTATGGGTCTGGGAGGCTCTATGGGTCTGGAAGGGTATATGGGTCTCCACCCTAGACAGTAAATCTCCACTATTTTTAATAAAGGTCACTGTGCAAAGGCCGGAAGCAGACACGTTTGGAGTAAATCTAAAGTAACACAAACGCCTGTTTCTGTTCCTTTTGTAATTACACAACAGCGTTCATGAACAAATAAGACCAGAATATAACCCAGAATAATGTTTCTGTGAAATGGACCGTGGCACATCCAGCTTATAGCACTATTCTAACATTAAAATATAAATGATCCATGAGGCAGATCAGAGAACACATTAGCTGTTCTCCTCTGATGTTGCTAGGTAACTGTCAAGCTAACTCCCGCTACAGACGCTAAAGCGGAAGCAGCGGTTCTAAATTAAAGTGTAACTCGAAAAACCGGCATTAAAGTAATAGAGTGAGCGTTTTCAAAATAGAACTGCACTGATGGTTATCTACACAGTCTGTGGTGAAAGTGTGGAAGTCATTGGCTCATCAGCCCTTGATCATGTAGGTCAGTGTCTCCCAAAGTGGGGTCCGCGGCCCCCTGGTGGGCCGCGAGGGTACTGCAGGGGGGCCGCGGGAGGTCATAAAAAATAAAAAATAAATTATTTAATGTTAAATTTATAATCTTTTGTTTGTAATATTAAAATATTTGTGTTCATTATTTGACTTGAATAATCCACTGTAATCATTTTTGTATTACAATGTTTGTAGCAGAGGCTATTTCCCCAAAATAAAATAACCAGAAGAGCCTATTCTTAATGTTGTCTTCTTGGTTATTATTTTGGGGGGGCCACGCAGACCCGTCAGATTTTTAAGGGGGCCTCGGTGTTACTGAGTTTGGGAATGGCTGATGTAGGTTATGTGTAGGATCTACATGAGCACGCGTTTGAGCAGTGGGAGGGGTTGGCTGTCGTTTAGCAGGGGTCCATCTTTGTAGTTCTCACTGCGGAAACGGAAATACACTGTGGAATTCTAACGAGATTTTCCATGAGATAAACGCAGCTTTAGAGCCTGTCTGAAACACGGCTTTATGCTCATTCCTAAAAGCGTATTAATCATACCGAGGAAATGTCCTTGTCTGTGACTCCCTGTTACTTATATGGAAATAAAAAAGATTCTGATTCTGATAATATTTTAAATAGATGGACAATGACGACTCGTACACACCTCTGTCAGGAGAGGCTCGCGTCACGCGTGGCTTCTGGTGCTGACATGTAATACATGTCGTGATCTCTGTGTCACATGTATGTGTTTGTCCTCATGGTCTCTGTGGGCTGCTCTGGTCAGACGCAAGACTTTTTGAAAGAAAAACAACAATGTCCAGAATCACAGTGCTCCTCCTGCTAATGTTTAGATAAAGTGCTATGTGTGTGAAGCTGACCCAGAGCCAAGGGAGCCTGCAAGAGCCGACGGGGAGCCTGCAAGAGCCGACGGGGAGCCTGCAAGAGCCGACGGGGAGCCTGCAAGAGCCGACTGGGAGCCTGCTTGAACCGACTGGGAGCCTCCTTGAACCGACTGGGAGCCTGCTTGAGCCGACTGGGAGCCTGCAAGAGCCGACTGGGAGCCTGCTTGAACCGACTGGGAGCCTGTTTGAGCCGACTGGGAGCCTGCTTGAGCCGACGGGGAGCCTGCAGGAGCCGACTGGGAGCCTGCTTGAACCGACTGGGAGCCTGCTTGAGCCGACTGGGAGCTTGCAAAAGCCGACTGGGAGCCTGCTTGAGCCAACGGGGATCCTGCGGGAGCCGACGGGGATCCTGCGGGAGCCGATGGGGATCCTGCGGGAGCCGACAGAGAGCCTGTGGGAGCCGATGGGGATCCTGCGGGAGCCGATGGGGATCCTGCGGGAGCCGACAGAGAGCCTGTGGGAGCCGATGGGGATCCTGCGGGAGCCGACAGAGAGCCTGTGGGAGCGATGGGGACTGCGGGAGCCGCAGAGAGCAAGCTGACTGGGAGCGAGCAAGCTCACCTCTGTGGACCCATGTCATACTGCTGTACATGTTAGAAGTATGTAAGATAAGATTAGATGGAGAAATGTGCATGTCACATTTGGCATCTAGAATCACTCAGATTGTGCAACAGAAAGACGTGTGAAACATGTTAAAGGTTAAAATGTATATTCTGTGCAGGATATAATTATGTACAGTAAAAAAGTGGCAATAGGTGTGCAGGTTTGTCAGTCCTTGTGCATTAGTGACTTAAAGTGGCTTATTGTACAGTCTGACAGCGGTGAGGATAAAGGCCCTGCTCCTTCTTGTACTGTTGCCTCAGTCCAGGAGCCTCCTGTCCCTCACCTCCTCCACAGAGTCAGCCTCCTAAGAAGGTGGAGGCAACTTTGGCCCTTCTGATACAGGGTGTTGGTGTTAAGGGACCAGTCCAGTTTATTGTTAATGTGAGCACCCAGGTACCTGAAGCTCCATCCGCTGTCCCTCTGGCACTCTGTCTGAATCCGGAGAAACGTCTCGGACATTGGTGTATTGTAAGTCCAGAGTCTCATTCTCCTGCGTGGGACACGCAGAGGCGTCCCGTGCCAACAGGCAAGGCAGGCAGCTGCCTGAAGTACTCACAATTTTCTATGTACCAGGCAGGCCCCAGGCCCCAGGCCTATCCATTCATTGTTAAAAATAAGAAATTATCTACATTTAATTTATGTTAATGTAAACAAGTAAAAGATATTGCATTTTATCTTATCATCAAGTATATATTTATATATGCTTGCAGAAGAAAAAATGGAGAAAGAGGCACTCTGAGAACTGTGTTCTTTTTAATGACCGGAGTCTTCGTCAGGGCAGTGAGTGTCGCAGCTGACACTGTGCTGATTTTAAGGCGTCATACACCATGTGACCATCAATATGTACAACATATAAAGATGAAAATAAAATAAAATAAATAAATAAAATAATATAACAGAGCAACAAAATAAGTCAGAAGTATGTGTATAAATGACAACATACCCTCCTAACCCAAAACAGGTAGACAGAAGAGATAACTGTTATGAATAGGTGAGATTGTTTGCTGGGAGAAGTATGGTAACTTGAGCACTATCCTCTCCTCCTTCCTACTTTATCTGTTTAGCATTTTTAGGATTTTGACTGCAGTTTGTTCATTGCTATTCACCCGTTGTCCCATTGTCTGTTTCATGGTACGATGACGGGATCTCTGAGCCTGGCCTCCTCCATCTACACCTGCGGACTGCCCCGCCCGACCCGCCTGGGAGTGCTTCGGTCCTGCACCGGACCTGTCCACGTTCAGCGGCCACTGGTCCACGTTCTGTAGCTAGCTTAGGTCCTGGATCATTAGCCTGTCCGTCCGGAGGAGCGGATCCCTTTCTCATATGGGTCTCCTTCCCTGTGGGTTTCCCTAGTTCTCCCCAAGGTTTCTCACTTTTTCCCACTGGGTTTTTTAAGAGTTTTTCCTTGTCGATGCAGGAGGGTCTTGTTGGACAGTTAGTGTCCAACAGAAAGGATTGGTGATGATCAGGACACTTTAGCATTCTACAACATGTATGGACATTTTCTTCTGTGTGTGCTTTATATTTTTCATGTGTTTTAACTGTTGATTCTCTGACCTGTGTTGGTGATTTCAATGGTTTTGTTAAGTCTCTGAGATGACTTCTGTTGTGACCTAGGGCTATACAAGAATACATTATTTAACGAAAGAATCCAGTGCTGTAGAGTCTCTGGTATTGTGGGGAGGTTATAGGAATGGCAAGAGGTCCATCTCCTCATTGATTCCAGGATAACGGGTCGCTCTTAGAGCATGGATCCAGTAAGTCTCTCTTTGGAGTAGTCTTTTTAAACGGTCTCCCCGTCTGGGGTCCTGTGGGACTACTTCAATCACCATCGCTTTTAAAGAGTCCGGTGTGCTGTGACCCACTGATTTGTAATGTCTCGCCATGGAGTACAAGTCATTATTTGTCCTATTGGCGCATTTGTGTTCAGCCAGTCTATCTCTGAACTTTCTTTTTGTGCGTCCAATGTAGAAGCAGTCACATTCGCTTTTGAGTCTGTAGACAACGTGGTTAGTGTTACAGTTGGCGAAGCTCCTGCACTTGAAGAGTTTTTGTGTGTAAACATCCATAAATGTATTAGTTCTTTTGACGTTATCACTGTGGTTGCAGTTGCCGCACCTATGCATTCCCGTCCTCTTGGCGAGCCAAGTTTCTTTTTTAGGAGTGGTGAGGTGGCTCCGGACCAGACGATCCCTCAAGGTTGGTGCTCTCCTAAATGAAAAAATAGGCAAGTCAGTAAGAGCAGGCTGGAGCGTGGGGTCACTCAGCAGGATGTCCCAGTTGTTTTTAATAATGCGCTTTATCTTATGGCTGAGAATTGTAAGGACATGAAAGTCCTTTGGGACGTTTGCGGTCTCAGGCGTTCATTGAGAAGGGTCTTGAGATCCAATGTTTTTACTTTGGTGAGGGCCTCATCCAAGACTAGTTTGTTGTATCGTCTTGATTGAAAACGATTATACATCTCAGTGGCTTGAGAATCAAAGTCAGAGTTATCATCACATATTCTCTTCAATCGCTGGAACTGACCGTATGGAATGTTAGTGATTAACGGTTTAAGGTGAAAGCTTTCTGCGCGTCGCCCTAAACATGTCCATGTCACCTTTGCCTGTATGTTTGATCACAATCTCACCTATTCATAACAGTTATCTCTTCTGTCTACCTGTTTTGGTTTAGGAGGGTATGTTGTCATTTATACACATACTTCTGACTTATTTTGTTGCTCTGTTATATTATTTTATTTATTTATTTTATTTTCATCTTTATATGTTGTACATATTGATGGTCACATAGTGTATGACGCCTTAAAATCAGCACAGTGTCAGCTGCGACACTCACTGCTCTGACGAAGACTCCGGTCATTAAAAAGAACACAGTTCTCAGAGTGCCTCTTTCTCCATTTTTTCTTCTGCAAGCAGTTTCCTCAAACCCTTGAGTGGGATGAGCACCTGTTAGTGTTTTTACTTCTGTTCATCCAGTGCAGCACTCCTGCAACCCCTTCACTCATATATTTATATGTATTTGATAATAAGTAGGAATATATTTATACCTACTGCTATATAAATGTGTTATGTTATATAAATAAAGCTTACTTACTTACTTACTTACTTACTTACTGTAATATAAACCTTTTTATGTGGTCGGTATCGGGCCCCCAAGGACTTTGTTGCTTGGGGCCCCGGGGTACCCTTGGAACGCCACTGGGGACACGTGACATTCTGCGTGAGTGTGGGGAGAGTAGCGGAGAGGAAAGCAGCATGTTAGCAGCATGTGATACTACCGTACATGTTAGCAGCATGTGATACTACCGTACATGTTAGCAGCATGTGATACTACCGTACATGTTAGCAGCATGTGATACTACCGTACATGTTAGCAGCATGTGATACTACTGTACATGTTGGCAGCATGTGATACTACTGTACATGTTGGCAGCATGTGATACTACTGTACATGTTAGCAGCATGTGATACTACTGTACATGTTAGCAGCATGTGATACTACCGTACATGTTAGCAGCATGTGATACTACTGTACATGTTAGCAGCATGTGATACTACCGTACATGTTGGCAGCATGTGATACTACTGTACATGTTAGCAGCATGTGATACTACTGTACATGTTAGCAGCATGTGATACTACCATACATGTTAGCAGCATGTGATACTACTGTACATGTTAGCAGCATGTGATACTACTGTACATGTTAGCAGCATGTGATACTACCATACATGTTAGCAGCATGTGATACTACTGTACATGTTAGCAGCATGTGATACTACTGTACATGTTAGCAGCATGTGATACTACCATACATGTTAGCAGCATGTGATACTACTGTACATGTTAGCAGCATGTGATACTACTGTACATGTTAGCAGCATGTGATACTACCATACATGTTAGCAGCATGTGATACTACTGTACATGTTAGCAGCATGTGATACTACTGTACATGTTAGCAGCATGTGATACTACTGTACATGTTAGCAGCATGTGATACTACTGTACATGTTAGCAGCATGTGATACTACTGCACATGTTAGAAGCATGTGATACTACTGTAAATGATAGCAGCATGTGATACTACTGTACATGTTAGCAGCATGTGATACTATCGTAGATGTTAGCAGCATGTGATACTACCGTACATGTTAGCAGCATGTGATACTACTGCACATGTTAGCAGCATGTGATACTACCGTACTTGTTAGCAGCATGTGATATTAACGTACATGTTAGCAGCATGGGATACTACTGTACATGTTAGCAGCATGTGATATTACCGTACATTTTAGCAGCATGTGATACTACCGTAGATGTTAGCAGCATGTGATACTACCGTACATGTTAGCAGCATGTGATACTACCGTACATTTAGCAGCATGTGATACTACTGCACATGTTAGCAGCATGTGATACTACCGTACATGTTAGCAGCATGTGATACTACCGTACATGTTAGCAGCATGTGATACTACCGTACATGTTAGCAGCATGTGATACTACTGTACATGTTAGCAGCATGTGATACTACTGTACATGTTAGCAGCATGTGATACTACCGTACATGTTAGCAGCATGTGATACTACCGTACATGTTAGCAGCATGTGATACTACTACTACTGTACATGTTAGCAGCATGCAATACTATCGTAAATGATAGCAGCATGTGATACTACTGTACATGTTAGCAGCATGTGATACTACCGTACATGTTAGCAGCATGTGATACTACTGTACATGTTAGCAGCATGTGATACTACCGTACATGTTAGCAGCATGTGATACTACTGTACATGTTAGCAGCATGTGATACTACTGTACATGTTAGCAGCATGTGATACTACTGTACATGTTAGCAGCATGTGATACTACTGTACATGTTAGCAGCATGTGATACTACTGTACATGTTAGCAGCATGTGATACTACTGTACATGTTAGCAGCATGTGATACTACCATACATGTTAGCAG